AAAAGTCATTGTTCGGTCTGCTTCCCCAATGTCGCGTCAAGAGAAGCCTAATAATCTAAACCCTGGGGGTTTATATTACGATATGTTTTCTAACCTTCTCGCTTGCATAGCTTTGCTCCTCAAAAAGAAGCCCTTGCTAACTTCTTTTTCGGCAATAATTAGGGATACGCGGTCGATCCGCAACACTGAACATTTTGAAGACGTTCGATCTTGGGAAAGTGCATTTAGTACCTTATGGTTATTCAGTTGTCGGCAAAAACTGAGGGTGCATCTCAATTGGCGGGTTGCTTGGTACAACTACGTGGAGGCGTGAAGGAGGCTGACGTTCCGTGTAGTTGAGAACGGCTTGTTCCATTGCCAAAGTTATGTTTAGCCCTATATATAGTACTTTCTGTTTATCTTGTACGGCGTCCGAAAGAATAAATCGGTGTTCGTTTAACGCTGATGAAATTCGAGTCAAAGTATGCATATCCTTAATTGGTGCAGTTGTATGCCCTAAAATTGGAGAAGACACGGGAGCCGGGGTGGGTGAAATCTTGCTAAATGTGCAATAGAGCTGAGCGTGACAAATATATTCTCATTTAGACGGTTAAACTATGTGCTTCCTTCTTTTTTTAAGAAGGGATAATGTAGGCGAGTTCTGCATTTAATTACGGAGTAATGTTAACGATATCACACATCTGTTCGATACTGATATCATAAAGCATTGTTCTACCTGATTACCCACCTTGGTATCAACTATCAAGGCATTGATCGAGCCCCCTGGAGTGGGTATTATATACCTGTATGTGCAAACTTAGGGCCTACGATAAATGTTTATGTTCTAGAGGGAGATGCTAAAGTGTATATAGGATGTATCTGTATGAGCGCAGTTCTTTTTCTATCAATCTCGTTATTACCTTTAAAGCGACAGCTTCAAATGGGAGCCCTCTATGGACCTTGCTTGCTCGTGTGTGTCTGACTGCCTGATGTCACAATGTCAAGTGAGGTAATGGTGGCACGTGACATCGTCAATTTTTTTTTCGCTAAATTTAAGGGGAAGATAAAATCCAACACATTCCAATAAAAAGTGCTGCTTGTTAAAACCCCAATCAAGTGCTATTGCGCCTTCACCGCTTTTGACGCAATGTCTAAGCCACGAGGTTTTTTTTTTGTTTTTTTTTTACTTTTTACATTATTACAGAATAGCCGGCTATATTTTTAAGTAATTAACATCTTCATGCATTTTTTTTCGTATATTAGAAGCGAATAGACAGTTACGAATCACCGACTGAACTCTTGAACTTACATTTTTTTTCTTTTTTTTTAGGGTTTGTTATTTATGTTTGCGCCTCACATTTGTTTTAAGCGAAACCGAGAGTTGATTCACAATTGCTTGACTCATCAATCAATCAAGACTAAGTAATTCCTCTGCTCACCGCCACTAATAATTTAAAACTTCACCAAGTATTATTTATTCATTTTATTACCGACCGAGGCGGTCCAAACTACTGCAATGTGAGAAAAAAAAATAAGCCCCGTATCGCTGTCATTAGCGGCATGTGGGCCATTCGAAAGTTGTTCAGTTCATGTAACGCCTGCTTTTCTAGATAGCGACAGACTTGCTCGTACTTTCTTTTGAAAAGGGCGATGCACTGATAGTTAATTTCTTTCGCGCATTTACGAGGCCAAAATTATGTTTTGTAAAGTATCCTTAATTTATATTTCGAGTTTTCCCAATATTGTATATATTTAGAATGCTTATACTTCGAGTATGTACACAGCTCAGCAGCCGGAGTAGATCGGCAGCAGCCACAGAATGTATATGCACCAACGCGCGTCTCTGACGTCACGCCACTGCGGTGGTGCTGCCGCCGGTGCAGGGCACGTGCACGCAATACACTTCACGTGAATCCGATTTCTACGCACACGCAGTGCCCGCTCTTCGTGCGGGCAAATCTGGGCAAACTAATGCTTGCTTAAAAAGAGCATGTTCGTCTACACGCAGCCAGAGTACTACAGTAAACAGATTGCACTACAATCAATTGCCATTACAAACGAAAAGTCTATTACAGTACCCTCCAAATATACAAAACTAGCATCGCATTAATATGCTGTTTTCTGCCAGGGAAGGATCGTGCAGTGTGCGCAGCACCAGTGTAACGCAAAAATTGTGCGCTTAAGATGTACGGGGGTGGGGTGGGTGGGTTTGGGGGAGGAATCAGCCTGAAGGAGGCGTTTGCTTTAACGCTTATTTGAAGACGTTTTGTTTTTTTCGTCCTCCGTGCAATATATTGTAAAATAATGAGGACTTTTATGACCAAATCGAGTCACAATTGTCTGAACGCGCGCTCTTGTTTATTTGTGGATTCCTATGGGGGCGTGCACGCAGTAATTCTGTTGTGCCCACACTGCGGATGAACTCCACGCATTCACATTAACAGTATCTAACACAGACGAGCCTAGGTGCTCTCAGTTTTAGAACCCGATCCCACCGCACGAGCTAATAAATAGAGCGTTCAACGGCTTGGGCTACAGTGCTCAGACAAATTTCCTGCCAAAATATGTGGAATGTGGTTTAGATCTAACCGCTGACGTTCGTATATAGGACATGCTTTTGTTTCTAGCTACACGAAGTAAATATTACCCAGAACACTAACGAAAATTGAACAGCCTTAAAGGAACCATAAAAAATATTTTGCAAGAATCTTTTTTGTTTAGTAATTACATTTTTTGACACTGCAGTAAAACCAACTCATAATTCTGTTTCGCACACTTACATAAACGATGATAATCATCCTACTGAGTTGAAGAGCTGCTTACAGAAAATTAGCATTTGGTGCGAGAACTTGCAAATGAAAAAAGAGTTCGCATGACAAAACAGTTAGAAAACGCGCCGAAAGTGCGTAATTACTATTTAAAGTAAACATCTTTACCGATAAAGGAGCATGAATTCAAGTAATTAGGGGTGGCAACAAAATCTACAATGGGACGTACAGACATGGGGCTATCAAGAAACCTACAAATAAACTTTGGCCGCTAAGACTGTTGTTAAAACTGGCAACACCTGAAGCTCGCGCTATAGGGACTCTAAGAAATTTTCGCAATTCCAGAATTGATGTTGCAACTTTTGTATTTATATAGGCCGTTGTAGTGTTTGCATCTCATCTCATTTGTGATTAGCTTGGTAATATAAATAAAATGTTGAGATTCGGTACACCGTGACTGTACCTCTGCGATGCCCGAAACTGCGGATAAAAAACAAACAAAAAAACCCGAGGTTTAGTTGCCGGTGTCTCTCCAACTTTGGAGAAATTGAAAGTAGATGGCTTGGTTTCTTTCGACGCAGAATCAAGCGCGGAACTTAGGCTACCCCATTATCAAAGGAGAGGTCTCAGAGCTCCGCGTCGGTATAAAATGTCGGCGCCCCTTTTAACCAGGCTCGTGTTACAGTAAACGCTTGATTGCGTAGATTTTTTTCTCTTACTTTGTGTTTACTGTGTGCCACTGAACCTCGCCCCCAAGGTATGCCATGGGCACCTTATCAGACGACATACTTTCACTTCTGGTACCTTCGGTCCTTTAACAAAACTTGTTTTTCGTCTCGAAGAAATAAAAAAAAACATATGGAGATTTGACCGGTACATTACATAGGTTAACAGAATCTAGGAGCCAATCTCTTAGCACTTCCGTTGTAACATCAAGAATAAGTTCCCCTCCCGATTTACATTGGAACACGTATATAGGTTAAAAAAAACAAGAAAGACACTAAAAAAACTAGGTTTTCTTAAACGTCCCTTCAACCTTGCTCATGCAGAAACGAGAGTTCATGCGTACCTCCTTAATCAGGACAACGTTGGAGTATGCTTCGGTTATATGACATCCATATTAAGATAATCTAGCTCATTATCTTGAGTTAGTACAGAGTAAGACAACAATATTCATCCTGAGGTCCTACTCTCGCCATCAGAGCGAGTCTGTACTTAAGCAGTCTCTGAACCTCTTAAATCTATACATTTGAAGAAAGATGTTTCGCTTATCATTCTTTCACTCTCTTGACTACGGTGATTCATCATTCGCATTTTCTCATATTCGGCCAGCGCATCGCATTTCTGCCTTTACCGAACATGCACTGAAGGTTTCGCCAGTATTCGCACGTACCGCGAGATATCAACAATATTCATCCTGAGGTCCTACTCTCGCCATCAGAGCGAGTCTGTACTTAAGCAGTCTCTGAACCTCTTAAATCTATACATTTGAAGAAAGATGTTTCGCTTATCATTCTTTCACTCTCTTGACTACGGTGATTCATCATTCGCATTTTCTCATATTCGGCCAGCGCATCGCATTTCTGCCTTTACCGAACATGCACTGAAGGTTTCGCCAGTATTCGCACGTACCGCGAGATATCAACTGCCCCTTATTATTGTCAATAAATGATTGGAATTCGCTACGTGCATGCACAGTCACTTTAACAGGATCTTCTGCCTTCCAGACTGCAGTCCTTTCGCTCCTCGAAGCTGAAATTGAAATCTAGACCTCCCCCCTTTTTCTGTTTTCTTCTTAGTTTTGACATTTAGTTTCTGAATCTGTATATTAATTTAAGCTTATTGTCTTTGTGGTTTGCAGTTTATGAGTGCTTTTTATATCATTGAATGCATAGAAGGATCCTTATTTTAGCCGACGTTTCTTGTTTTTGAATATGCTCTAGGATGGTTCATAGTGTGTTGTTGACAGTATTTGTGTGGTATTGTTTTTTTCTGTTGGATTTCTTGCTTGACTCATTTTACAGCAATGTAATGTCCCTTGGACCATTAACAATGTAATACCCATTGGGCCTTTAGGGTTTCTGAAATAAATAAATAAAAGAAGTAACGCTTAATTGTTGAGTTTTTTATAGTTTTGTTATTCTTTGTTTTTTTAAGAACATAGGACTAATACCCTGAAGGCGTTTTCTTTAGGAACACCGAAATGTTATGACACGTGTTTAAACCAGGCGTCTCTTCTTTTTTTGCTCGCAGATGTGCCCGAGGTGGAAGTGGTCAACGTCAGCGCGCGGGTGTACGAGCGCGAGCGCGTGACGCTCACATGCCGGGGCCGCGGGAAGCCTGCCCCTCGCGTCCACTGGGACACGGCACGGGTGCAGGCGGCACCCTACGAGCTCAAAACTACCTCCTCGGTCGAAGAACAGCACGACGCGGAGGGAAAGCTCATCGGCACCATCCAGGTGAGAAATGGGGCCCTATTACGTCGGCTCAAATAGCTGGGCTTGTTCCTGAGTTGTGGGCGACAGGCCTATGTTTACTGCTGGTGAATCGACACTGCCCCATTCCCCCCGAACGCCTATACGGGTAGAAACTGGGGGAGAGGAAGAAATGAGAGCGCGCGGTAACGTCAAAACACCGAGCGCTAGTTAGAGATTGATTACTGGGTAGGCTGTACACTCTAATAAAATCTGATCGTAAAAGAACTCTTAGGGATTCATCGGCTTGTCCATATCTTGCACGCTAAAAAGTTATTTTAAGCACCCCCTAGGGGGGTCCTTCGTGAAAATTCTATAAGGGGCTCTTTGAAGCTCCTCTTTTGATGCGAAAGTGTTCTTCATCGCCCAGTAGTCTTTCGAGTGCCCAAAAAATTCCCCGTGTGCTCTTGACTCCTCCCCTCCGTTAGTCACTGACCTCTCCTAGTGTCGAACATTTTGCATCCAGGTTCCTGAAACAACTTCTGTTCGGTTGTACGCAATGTAAAATAAAACTTTAAACTGCCTCCAACCGCTTCGCTCGCTAGATATGTAAAATGATACTATAGAGGGGCAAGGTAAGAAGATGGTTATGAAAGTTCATCAAATTCAATTATCCCCCTTGGTAATCCCTAAAATATAACTTTTTTTTTAACATCCTTCCAAAAGGTCCATAATCTAGCATGATTTAAAAGTCGTAGTTAGATTACCGTATGTAATGAACGTTTAATTGATCGTTTTAGGAGCTTACTTACTCCCGTAGTACTCCTGAATTTCTCTTTGGTACCAATTTTGGAGGAACTGTACTCCAAGAAGAAAATTATATTTATAAGGTGATTATATTTACGAATGGGTACTTAATCTATTAACCTACCGGTTCATCAATTAATCCTTTAATCGTGATTAATTTTGAATCGGTTAAAGTTTTACTAACAAAAACATTTATAAAATGGACCGTTTGCACTGCGCAGACGCGAACGAATACACCTGTATGAAGGCAAATTTTGGGTGAACTTTTGACCTAAAGTAAACTGTAGGGGCGAGATTTGTAAACCCAAACAAGGTGGAGACGTTTATAGTGTCCCGGTCACATGAACGCCGTGCCAGTGTCCGTTCAGCGCAGCAGAGACTGTTGCGAACCATCGAGGGAGTTGGCTATATTGCCGGAAAATATCGACGAATCTCTGCTTCTGCGGATGAAGTAATACTTTTGAGTGTGAGTGTCTCTTGACTGTTTCAACAACGCGTCAAGTTTGATTGAAAATCGAAAATTGTACATTGCGCGGTTTATCACTAGTCAGCAAGGGCAAAAAAAAAAAAAAAAAAACAGAAGTTAATTTTGCCTTTTTGAAAAATTATACGTGGGAATAAACAAAACCTACTAGTCAATTAATTAATCGACTAAAGGGTGTCAATTCATTGGATTAAAATTATCATTCGACGCCCATATATTCACTGACAGCTTAAGAAGTGTAGGGAAGAAAGTTTTCGCCCTGAGCTTTTTACGCTGGAAGTGACTATTCAGTAGTGCATATTCTTCTTCGGTGAAGTCCGTAACTATGGTAGTGGAAGCTTTCTCGTCCAAGAGTATAACCTAAAAGAGAACCATGAACTGCCTTTTGGGAAAGCGATATGGAAGGGCATCTTATCGGGGGGGGCATTTTCCGTTAGTAGAGCACCCCCCCCCCCTCCCCCCGTTCACGCCATCATGAATTGGCACCCCTTTGGCTAAGAAACCTTTTATGACCGGCAGCGCATCCTTTCGCGATTCTCCAAGCATGGCATGTGCTCGCGACCCAAGAGCGCGGGCTGATTCACCGATTGCAGTGCTAAAGGTACCTTTATGCTGGCCGTGTGAATGGGAGATATTAGGTGCATAGAGTCGGTGACAGCTTAAGGCCGCGCAGTCGTACTGCTCGTACATCGTACGGAATGCACAGAGTTCTCCGCAGACACGACGAGAGAATTTATCCGCGGACACGACTCAAGCGTCTTCCAAGTACGTTGCCTCATATATACCATGTATGCTTCCAACGTGCCTGCAGACTTTTTTTTGCACGACGCACACCCACACACACAAGGAAGAAACGCACCTCAAACCATAGACCGTCTTCTGTATTATATATTAGCAGTGTGTTCGCAGCTTCAAGGACGCAAGGCGTGGTGAGGGCCTTGCGTCCCTAAGGCTTTAAGGCCGAAGGGCCTTAAGGGGTCCTTAGAATAAGCATCTTTTTACTTTTTTTGTGAGGGAAGTGAATATTAGGTGTACAGAAGTGAGAGTGAGAGAGAGAGAGAAACTGATCAATTCGAGTGACCTGGTATAAAATCAATCAATTCTGTAAGTTGCTCGAACGAGTGGGCGCTCCGGCACAGGTGACCACGACCGAGCTGGTGCTGCACCGCGTCGACGGCACCGCCAACGGCCCCCTGCGCTGCTACGCCGACAACCTGGTGGGACGATCCAAGGCGGACGTCAACCTCACCATCTTCAGTGAGTTATTTCAGGAAGCACTCACTCCCTTTCAACCGAGTGTCCCGTCTTTCTTGCGTATATCGTTTTTTGTTTTGTTTTTTGTATTCGCTCGTTCTCGGAGGAAGTCGTACTTTTTTTATTATTATTGAACTAAAAAACGATTCCCCCTGACTTCGAATTTATCGTTTCCGCGTTTCGACTTGTTCAAAAATTTTCATTCTAAGTGTTGTTGTTTGTTTTTATAAACTAAAGTTGCCTTATTTATAACTATAAAAGTGTATGCCATGGTTGCAACGCAGACGTGGCTACGTCACAAATTACAAATTTAAAGTTATTTTCTTCTGTTGGGTGAGGCTAAAAGCTATGCTGGGCTGTTTAATTTTAATCCGAAGAAACTTTTTTTAACAAGTGTGTGACTCACAGTAACTGAAGAGCGTGTTGGTAACATTGACTGGCAACAGAAATTTTGTTTTATTATTTCTGTTGCCATTAAGTGGGTGACTGTTTCTAGATATCTGTCTTCGCTCTGTATTTATCGGGGTCGGCGGAAATTAGATACGGTAAGAACCGACATAATAAGGTGGCTAATAACCACTCTTGTTTTGATTACTCTTTGTCTAATTAATAGCTTAACAACCATCTTACAGCTTCAGATTCATAGGAAGTCCTTGCTAGAGGCTAAATCGATTTTAACAATTAGCGTTCTTGTTGTTGTTAAGCATTAACCTTTTTGTTGTTGTTGTTGTTGTTGTTGTTGTTGTTGTTGCGGTTTGCGTTTTTGTCAAGTAGCTTTATAGCTGGGCTCCGAAAGGAACGCCGAAACTCCCGTCCATGATGACATGAATGACTGACGTTCTCGTTTTGGGCGCTTCGTCATTAGGGAGTTCTAGGTGTTCGTTCCGACAACTCCGATGTATCCTTGTCGAGTGTCGTTACGGAAGCGTCGAAACAATCTAGTAAAACTCCCTCCTAAGAAAGAGTTTCCTTAGATCGTCCCGATAGCTCCGATACCCCCGATAACGATACAATTCATGCGCAAAGGCGGCGACGGAGTATCGGGTATTCCCATCGGAGTCGTCGGAACGATCCATTAAAACTCTATTATCTCGGCAGCGTGACGTCGGTGCGTCCACCAAGTATACACGCTTCCGATATAATGACGAGGGTCGCAAAACGACTATGTCACACTTGTGTGTTTGCATCGTTGTAGAACGAAGTTCCGGCGCTCTTTCTGCGGTCCAATGGGCATTTCTCACACGAAGACGAAACCAGGAGACGAAATTTCGAACGACGATTACGCTTCCGAAATTGCAATACCTCTCTCGCCGTTTCCGCCACTCGTCTGTTTCCATTTCGCTCGAAATAATCGCCACATCGCTGCACTGTGACGTCGCATGACGCAACGCATTCTCCACGAAAAAAAAATTAATTCATTTTAATTGCTTTAGGAAGTTTTCAGAAACCGTTTCGGGGGGGGGGGGGGGGGGGGGGGGCAGGTGCGATACTATATTTGGACGAGATACGCGGTATCATTGCTGTCGGTTCGTTCTCATTTGCGCCGCGTCGATCACGAAATTGCCATTCAGCTCGCAGAGGAAGCGTCCAGAGGCTGGAAATTTTAGTGAAATGAATCCTGTCTATGTAGTGTAGAAGTGGCGCTCAATATTAGTGCCGAGGAAGATTGTAGCAAAAGAAAAAAAAAACTAAAGAAAACGTCTCTTAAAGAAATTGATGAAAGTCACAATTGGGGCCGACAGGGCAGCGCGCACAGGTGGTCGAGGGATCTGGACTCTGAACGCGACCGCCTTCCGTTTCTTTCGTTCTTCCTTTCTTTTTTTTCCTTTTTTTCAATCCTTTAAACTATATATATATATATATAACGGGCATGGTGGCGGGAGGCCGAAGGCGTGGGTATAATTGAGAAGAAAAAAAACCTTGGTGAAAACAGCAACAACGGACGATTGATTCCGTTGTTGCTGTTTTCACCAAGGGTTTTTTCTTCTCAGTTATATATATATATAGATAGACAGATAGATATATATAGATATATATATATCAAAGTCACCAGGCTCGATCTAAAATGGACCGTAAAAATCGACGCCTGCACGTAGTAATCTAAACTTTTCGTCAAAAGTGTATTTCACTGGTCGTTTTTTTTTTTCTTGTAAAATTTCAAAACGTAGTTCTTCTTCTGTAAAAAATGGGGCCAAGAAACTTGCCAGGGTCTACAGCGGGCGACGACCCAGACGACCAAGTCCAGTAGCGGGGCGTGTTTGAAGTTTATATTGATAGATGGGCGTCGGGAGCAGCGTCCGAAAGTGCAGCCGACCAGCGAAAGAAAGCAGACGACACGCACACGAAATCCGTTGGCAGCAAAAGCGCCGTCGTTACGCAGACGCGTTTTTTTACTAGTTTTGCTTTTATTGTCCGCATTTATTTTTTTTAACCGAAGGTGCATTTCAAAAGGATTATGTTCACTTCAATAAACCACGGTTGTTGCGAGCCGTCGCGATAAGGAGATAGCGCCATCTATCAATACGAATGCCAAACACACCCCGCTACTAGACCCCCGTCGTCTGCGTCGCTGCCCGCCGTAGACCCTGGCAAGTTTCTTGGCCTTATTTTTTACAGAAAGAGAGCTACGCTTCGTAAATTCACAAGAAAAAAACGATCTTTGAATTATACCTTTGCCGAAAAGTTTTGTGCTACGTGCAGGTGTCGATTTTTACGGTCCATTTTAGATCGAGCCTGGTGACTTGGACCACCCTATATATGGGAAGTTGAAGGGGTCTTTGAATTCCTAGAGAACTGTGAACGCCTCAATGTAGGCACATTAAAGATTGTATGACTTGCGTTTTTTTGCGGTCTTATTAGTAGGAGCGTCGTAATCGCCAAAAGACCCCTTTCAAAAATCACGTGCCCATTACTAGCAGGTTAAAACTACTGTACAATGTCGAAACAACGAACATCCTGGAACGTGCAAGTAAGATAGCGAACGTCGAAGCACTGGCAACGCTGGGACCCGATGAGCCAATCAAACTGCGTCGAAAGGGCCACGGCACTGATCTCATCACCTTTTTCTGTGTGTGTTTTTGCCTTCGAATTTAACCAAACGCATAAAATCTGCACAATAATACTTTAAAAAAACAATCGAGCTGGTGATGATTCATGGTAGCGAAAACTCGAGGCTCAGGAATATAGGAGGGGACGAAATCTGCCGTGACCTTGAGGTTTTAGTCCGCCATTGTGCAGGAGAGAGGCGCAGGATAGAGCGAAAGCCGGGAAGAAAACTTGACAAAGTGGAGTAAACGGCAATCAACCTAAAGTGAATTTAGATTCCCCTGTCTCGCCAACTAGCTGACTCGGAGAGGCCGAAAATGACGTCACGACGCTTTCGACAGATACCAGGCGGCAGAAAGGCTCGCCGCATGCCCTGCGGCAATCGCTGCACGTATTTTTCAAAGTAAACGCGCTTTAAATGTACTTCAGCCCAAGTTAAGTGCGATAACTGAAATCACGGGATAGAAATCTATAGTAGTCCGCCTCTAACTCAGATTTCTTAAAAAGGTCCTCAGCTTCCTTTTGAAGTCGGTAGTGCAATAGCGTCATTTAAACAATACTGTTGGTTCAAAAAACTTGCCGGTTTATACATTGCACCCTCATTCCTGCCTCGCAAATCAATTGACCGCCGCTATTTTTTTTTATTACTATTAAAACATATCGCAGGCTAAAGACTGGCCCAAGCAGGGGTGGAAATAACAACAAGTAAAACACAAATAAGCACTTTTGAAACCAAAAATAAAACACATCGATATATATATTATCGCTCCTGCCTTTTTTTCTCCCCCATGAAATACGAATGTCTTGCCGGGATTACAATTATCACTGGTTTCGCGAATTAATAAAAAAATAGAAAGACACCAGCTACCGAAATCAATGAACTGCTGAAGTTCGTGGACGGCTCGTCAAGTTACGGGGCAGCTTTCTTTTTTTTCTTTTTTTTTTGCGTTAAAAGAGAATTTGCACGCATGAGATAGAAGTACAGGTTGTACAGGTGCGCATGTGCAACAGCTCTTAAGACCGATCGTTTGTTCACAAACGATCAGTTGAGGCGAAAGAAATCAATAATTACTGCAATCCGTTTTTTTTTTTTTTTTTTTTTTTCATTAAAAGTGAATTTGCACGCATGGGATAGAAGTACAGGTAATATAGGTGCGCGTGTCCAACAGCTCTTGAGACCGATCGTTTGTTCACAAACGATCAGTTGAGGCGAAAGAAATCAATAATTACTGCAATCCGTTTTTGTTTTTGTTTTTTCAGTTGTTAATAAACAGTGTTTTAGTTGGAAAATGAACGTGAGCAAAGTAAATAAAGGTTTTTCTAGTAACTTCCTGTTTATATCATCAATGGCTTACCCTTGGGAAGGGGCAACACAGCGGCGATATAAACACATGAACGTGTAAAAATCAAGGTGCCATCGCAGACCAAAAGAGGACAAAAAGATGAACCTATGATATCTTTAAAGACGTAATGGGCTTAGAAAAATCCTTATTGTGGTCTAAGCATGTCATGAAAATAAAAGTATAACAACTCTTTCCGAAATGATTTTTTTTATATATATTTTTTTTTTTATTTGCAACTCTTCTAGCACTTTTCGGCGAAACGTAAGGTCGACGCGTTCTGTGGATGTGCGAGCGGTGGTACGAATAGAATGGCGCCGCATCATTCACAGTGTGCAAGGAAAAGCCGCGACAAGCGGCACCCTATACACTGTAAAAGTCAGGGACGACACTGCCCTGTTTGATTCATTACTTGGTCATGCCCGCACTGAAGGGGCCTCTAGAATCTCTTTAGCAGACGTAGCAAAGCTGTCATTGTTTTTCTTTCAGTTTCATTTTGTACGATTTTCACAAGTGCTAGTACCTATTGCGCGCCGCTCCTGTTCAGAGTTCCAGCCTCTGGCATGTTTTCTCTTTGAGTAAAACGGCAATTCTGTGATCGAAGAGACGCAGTCGAGAGCGGACGTTCTTTTACACGAACGGCTATCCCGGTTCGGTTGTATCACAGTTGCAAAACGGTTTACTAAACCTTCCTAACGCCAAATGAATTGAACTTTTTTTTTTTTTTTGAAGACTGCGTTGCGTTAAGCGGCGTTTTAGAATGAAGCGATCTGGTGCTTATTTCAGGCGAAATGAGAACGAGTGAGTCGTGGAGGAGGTGGAAGTAACGAATTCCGGAAGCCAGTCTTAGTTCGAGCTTTCGCTGCTTTCGCGGCCTTCGCATAAGCAGAACATTTTTTTTTTATTTAACTACAATTGACAAATGTTTGAATTTTTTATTAATATCTAAAATCCCGTTGGCATTTCGCCAACTTTTTTTTAACACTTAGCCCCTCATAATGGCTGCCATTGATACTGCAAGTGCGAGATGGCCCGTGACAATATTTCAATATTTAATTAACAAATTTAGTTAATCAGTCAGCTTGTCGTTGCAGTTATTCTTTTATGTAATGTCCGCTAAGCCTAATAAATACACGGTAAAGGCGGAACCCACGTAACTGCCCCCCCCCCCCCCCCCCCGCCCTCTTTTTTGTCTTATTTTTTTAGAATTAAAACCACCCGCGCTATAGGTGAGATGTAAAACATTGTCATTCATGGCATATTCAGTTTATGAACCACCAAATATTCTCATTGGCACACTGGATACCTAAATAATGACGACCTACCGTGTACAGAGTAGAGCACTGCACGGGCCGGAATTTCTAGGCCCGGCCCGACCCGGCCCGGTAGAGACACGGCCCGGGCCCGGCCCGAGCCCGACAGAATATTTTATTTCTAGGCCCGGCCCGACCCGGCCCGGCAGAGACACGGCCCGGGTCCGGCCCGAGCCCGATAACATTTTCAAATATGAGCCCGAGCCCGCCCCGAGCCGGAAAACTGGGACCGAGTTTTTTTTATACCATAAATATGTCGACTTAGAATATGTATTGTCGAGAGTATGGGTGAAATATGCGCATCATTTGCGACAGTCATTGAAGTCATGGCACACCGAAAATCCTTGAGACAAAAGTGGTGAATTTTTTATTTATGAATTTATTGAAGGGATATTGCACTTTTCGTTGTTCTATTCAATTCGTTTAAGAGAAATTTTCTTCCTACATATTTTTGTGCAGAAACAATAAATTGTCCATGGACTCTCTCTTCAGGCAGGTCCGTCTTGCTTGCATAATGTAGCCCGCCGCGCTAAAGTTCCGTTCGCTGCTAGCACTTGTAGCAGTGATGCACAGGATGCGTTTGGATAGAATCAGAATCGACAGTTTCGGGAATTCTTTCTCGTGCGCTCTCCTGAAGTCACAAAGCTCAGACACTCCTGAGCACGAGTAGTCTTTCTTGCCGTGTAGATACTCCTCCAATTCGTACAAAGTACAAAGTCGGGGTAACGCTTTTCTTTTTTTAATTTGAAAAGCCAAGGAAAAAGACAATCATGTTGTACCCTGCGACCGGAGTGCCCTCGTTATCTTGCCCGCACTCTCCCCGTATGCTGGTGGAGTTCATGTTTCCTTTTATCCGCTTGAAGGCTTTCTAACTGCGAGACACCTTTTTGTTAATATTTTAACGGCGCTGTCACGACCTTGCACCTCGCGTTTTTTTTTTTTTTTTTTTTCATGAACCTAAATGATTAATGTGGAAACTTTTTGTTATTAACAATCTAAAATTTACGGCACACGGCTGACCAGGCACGGCCCGGGCCGGCCCGGGCCAACGCGGCCCGGAAACTTTTTTTGCCAAGCCCGAGCCCGGCCCGGGCCCTAAAGAATACGTGCTACCCGACCCGAGCCCGGCCCGCGGGCCGGGCCGGGCCCGGGCTTTCGGGCCGGCCCGAGCCCGTGCAGTGCTCTAGTACAGAGTGGAAGCATCCAAAATCGAGCGTATCCAGAATTGTGCGCACGTAGAAACTCTGGTAGATCTAGTCCTCTCGCATAATTTAGTTAACAAGTGAACTGCCCTACTAGGTCTGAATACTGTGAATTTTCTGAGTTTCACATCTTGTATTCATGACAGCATCGTTGCAATGGTCATACGACCCAGTCGCTAGACGAAAACACATGCCCGCGCAAATGACTTGCGGAATCCGAGGCCACGAGTGAATATAACTAGGCAACATTAAATATAGTTACGAATACCCCAGTATAATTTGGATGCAATCTTTGGAACTCTGCAGCACCTCCCAGGATAACGTCGATGAAGATGGGCAAACGGTTCAATCATCACATTCAGTACGACGTGGTCGCCTACCCCATGTTCAACTGGAGCTGGTTCATCAATGACCGGCCACTGGAACGGGACCCGGAGAAGTACAATTACATCCATCAAAAGACCGACACCGCTTCCTACCGAGGTGCGAAGTGCCACTTGTCGCTCGTCTCTCTCACGCCTTTTTTTTTTCTTGTGTGTGTGTGTATGTATTTCCGCTATTTGGAATTATTGACATGTTAAGAATGGCAGGGTGTGTCTTTCGAACGCCCGGGCCTCCAGCACGCGTATGTTGCCTTCCACCGTGCTCTGGCTGCGCGTGCAGGCTCGATGCTCACGAGACGTCAAAGTGTCATCGAAGGTTTAGGAAGCTAGCGCTGGAGGCAGGACGACGACTGAAACTCTTTCCTGCACTTATCATTCGTGACTTTGGGTGGGCTTGACATGCCGCTCAAGAAACGTGTTTGCGCGCGTGTGCCACCGACTCCTCTGAAAGCGTGCACTAATGTGAATTTATTTTTCATTCCCCACTCTCCATCGATCTCGTGGACGGATGGACGATCAGGCTTCTTGGAGTTCCTGAGTCCCATCTCTTCGGTCGCGGGCTTCTACACTCTGGTGGTGGAGAACGAGTTCGGCACGGCCAACGAGACACTCGAGGTCACGTTCCCCGGAAGTAAGCCCAAGTCGCCACGTGCCGACCGGGGTCCCACGAAGGGTCTGCCATTACCATAGCCCAGTGTTTTCTTTTCCAGTACCTCACAACAACAATAACAACCCCCGGCACAGGCCGCCAGTGCCGTCCGGGAAGCCCCGCATTCAGGAGAGAGAACCATATGTCGACGTCGACATCGTAAGTGCATCGACTTTAAATTGTTTTTCATTTCTTTTTTCATATTGTCAACGTCGTGTCGCGTCATTAAAGCACGCGTGCCATTGGTCGGTGATGTGAACGTACTGAATGAAGATAGCGGTGCAGCACCACAAGCTGTGAGAAATACAAACAGATGAGCTGCAACAATTGCAGGTCTGATGGTATACTTTATGAGGAGCGCAAGTTCGTCTGCTTCTTTCTGCAGGGGCTGAGATGACGTCAGAACACCGAGCTCTGATTTGCCCTGATTGAAGGATAGTGGGTAGATATAAAAGCAAGCTGCCTTGAGGTCTGCCCACTATCCTTCTATCAGAACCAGTCAGAGCTCGTCGTTCTGACGTCACCACAACCCCGGCAAAAGTATCAGACGAACTTGCGCTCCGCATAGTTTCTGATAGCCTAAAAAAGCGCAGGGCGAGGTGAGTCCTTGGCACTTCATTATCGCTCCAGAGCCAATGAGCTTGTGGCATTGCCAATAAAAATCCCGAAGAACGAATCACAATGCGACGACCGTGAACATAAGAAGTTACGCCCTGCTTTCTTTCAGATGTCAGTGACTAATAGTGGAAACCAGTTAACAGTATATTAAAAAGCTCCGAATCTTCCGATGGCGTGTACCCATTGGCTGACACAGACTTTTTGAAGTTGCTTGGCCACGAGGACAACCACTCACCTTCACATCTTTTTTTTTTTTTCTTTTCCTTTTTAGATAATGGGGTCTTTCATTATATAAGAGTTCACACGAAAGGTTATTAGCTCTCTAGAGACCATCGTGTTCTTCTCATTAGTATAATACTTCTCATCAGTAAAACTCAGAACTTTAAGTCAAAATGTCTATAAAAAAAAAAGAAGCAGTTTATTACAAATAACGCTTCTAAAGCTGCGCTACACGCTGCGGTCACGCATTTGGAGCTGCGCTACACAAGCTTTTATGACCGCATGCACGCGCACAGTAGCGATTTCACCATAGACTACAAACCAGAGCAAGAACGAACATCAATTCTGCGTCGAACTCGGCAAACATAAAACAGAGATCTTTGAAATAATTCCGCAGGCTTAAAAGGCAGTGAATTGTGCAAAGTGTTTTAAGCGGCACTTGCGCCTCGGTAACGGCAGAACATCGCTGGAAGGCAACAAGTGGTAGGGCGACCTTACCCGATCTCTTTTTTTACTTCACTGATGTTCTGTTATTCCTGAGGCGCCAGTGCCACTCAAAACAGCTCGCACACCTCACTGCTTTTTGACATAAGCCTTCTTAATTACTTGAGAGGTCTATGTTTTCGATTTGTCGAGTTTGACGTAAAATTGATGTTCGTTCTCGCTTTGGTTTGCAGTCTATGGAGAGATGGTCATTATGCTCGTGCACGTGGTCAAACTCGTGTTGCGCAGTTCCAAATGTTCACAGAGCAACGCCCTTTGGCATAATGACGCAGGAAGGTCCCTGTCTTCGACTGCTGCGTGCGCATCAGTGTGCTGCACTCTCTGTTTATGCTACAAAATCAGTCTCGGAACTTTTTGATCACAGCTCGTATACTTTTATTTTCAATCATGAACATTTGGAAACATAGCAAAAATAAACACCCTACTTCGAAGAATCGGGAATCTTCTAAGAATAAACTCCGGTAAACTCCGAATCTGGCCAAAAAATAAACTCCAAAAAACGCCCTACGAATTTCAGGAGTAATAAACTCCGAAAACATGAAATCCTTATTATAATGCAAGAAATGCATTCAGGGAGTTAAGAACCTAGTTTTTACCAATTTAGCGTGAAAACTGACTTGGTGCGTATACATCGCGTGACATTTCTTTTTCTGCGAAATTTAGCGGGGAAATTGAAATAATAATATGTACATGTCCGTGACGTCAATTTCCACACTAAATTAAACTGGAAACAGACTTCGTGCATAGGACATGTGACAATATTTTTCCCGCCAGATTTAACGGAAACATTGTTTTGGTACATAGGTTACGTGACCTCTGCTGACGTGATGTCGATTTTCCCTCTAAAGTTAGCGGGCAAACTGAATTGGTATATAAGTCACATGACGTCCTTTCCCCCCGCTAATCCAGAGGGAATTTCACGGACGGCGTGGACGGACGCACATTTCGTGATTTGGGGGTGGCGGTTACAAGAAAAAACAATACACGCTTTAGAACTAAAACCGGGCGCACCGGGAGTGTGGAATTAACGTTCGTTGGGCCCCTTGTCGGGCAGCAGCAGATCCCGATCATCGTGACGCTGAGCGTGCTCGTGGTGCTGGTGAGCGTGGTGGGTGCGCTGGTCGCCCTGCGCTGGTGCCAGTTCCGCCAGGAGAACTACGCGGCCGACGGCACCCGCTTCTGCGCCTGGCTCTGGCTCTCCATGCGGCCCGGGGGACGGCGCTGCTTCGACCGCAAGCGCGTGGTGGGCAAGGAGCGCATCCCACTCAACATGACCAGGATGGTCGAGAACCCCAACTACCCCAACTACTTCCAGGACACCATGAAGAACGGCAAGACAGGTGCGTTCGCAGGCTCGTTCACCCAGGCCTTCATTGGCTCGAAATCAGGCGCGAAAAATAATCCCGAAACCGGACGAAAATCGGAATGTGGGAGAAAGTTTGAGTCGCTATTTTCGAGCAATGGGCGCATTTATTGCAAGCAAACAGAAAAACTCGTCTCGTTTAAAACATATGGCCATTTCCGCACCGCGAATACTCTTGTGTGTTCTGTTTCTTTCGAAAAATGAGAAATAGCGAGGGAGAGAAAGACAGATAGAAATAAATAATGGTTGTGGAGAGATTGGCATAAATTTACTAAAACTTTTTTTTCAACGTTTGTATGTTTGTTTTGCTAATATGTTGCTCATGTGTTCCAGGCTAGGCAGATCGCGCTGTCCTGTGCTTGAGAGCCTACAGAAAATATGTACCCAGAATGTCCTGTCCCATTTCAGGCCGTTTAGGAAATATTGACGCAGTTGTTGTGCCTGTAACAATATACGTGCTCAATTATCCTTTTACAGAAATAAGTAAAACTTCCTCAGCTTTTTTTACGGCATTTATATAAAGCTTATTATACGAGAACACACTACATTCGAAGTGAATATACAACTCTTCGTCTAATTATTTACTTTAAAACAAAAAACAAAAAAAAAACATGTGCGTTCATTTCTTTGCAGAGCATGCAGGTAAGCAATGACAGCGAATAACAGAAGTATCGCAACAAATGACGGAGCACAGTGTCGCACAGTTAGACCCGAATACTGCAATGTGGACTGGGACTGAAAAAAATGAAAGAATAAACAGGATTTGAAGGGAGAGAAAAGGACAGAAAGGGACATCACACGATAATAACGCTACTATAGGCAACAATATGAAAGGGAACAGGCTTTGCGGATTTTTTATATGTACCCACAAACTTCGGAACATGGTATGATCCTGACGAGGCAGTTTAGATCCCAAACTACATACTGTTTGACATGTTGAGGTTTAACAAAGTTTGCGGGAGCGGTGAAACTGAAAAGAAGAAAGATTAACTGTTCCCTTAAATATTTGTTTCCGGCAATACAGTCTCCGACAATATGATAGCCCTTTCAACGAGGCAGTTTACGGCGGCTGTGCTGGAGTCGCTTCGAACAGGTCTAGATTTTGAGGGCGAGGGAATAAAAGAATCTCTGGCCAATGTGTGTTTAGCGCCGCCGCATAAACCCCCTCGGCGAATGGGTCTTTCATATTGCGGAACACTGTATGCCTCTAAAATAGGTACAGTCTCTAACAATACGAAAGGCCCATTCGACGATATAGTTCAGGTAGCTGTGCAGGATTCGCTTTGGCCTGGCCCACATCGCTTGAAGCAGAAAGAAAATTAATGAGCCTTCGTTCTATTCTCGCTCTAAAATTAAAGTGCCTAGAGACAACGTGTACCTAGCACCTCCACACGAGCTGTCTAGCCGAATCGCTACCTTTATGGTAGGCGGCGAATCAGTTAGCAATCCCACGCGTGTGACAAGTGTTCGCGATTCAAGAGCGCGGACTGATACACCGATAGCAAAAGGACCTACGTTATAAGTAGGGATGCGTGTTTTCGGGGTCTATCTTTTTTTATATATAGAATTCGGGGGCGTTTTTTCTGGGTTTATTTTCCCCGCAAGTTCGGTGTTTCTCAGTATTTATTTTTAATGTCGAACAAACAATCTATTTTATTCGGGACTTATCTCGAATGAACTAGGACATGCGCATCGGACTTCCCGACCTCCAAGCAACATACGAATGACTTTTACAAAACGTCCCCGTACCAATGAAATGAGTAAGTCAGGTAAGGTGTAGGGTTAAGAAGAAAGATGTAGCCTCACAGACAGTTCATTGCAGGCTGTAGTCTAGATCGACACGAGACAATGCTCTAGATAAAGATATTCTACCCGCTTTTCGTATGCAAGGACTGTTCCAAATTGATTTTTTTTTCTTTCTTTGATTTGCATAAAACCGTCTCGAGAGTTAACTTTCGGAGTTTATCGGTATTTGCCGAAAACACGCAACCCAAGATACTCATCACAGTATATTGTCCTTCCCAGACTCAGAGAAAACTGAGATAAAAAAGAAAAGGGGCGATGGGTGGGGAAGACAGAAAAGGAAGGAGAGAGAAATAAATATACGATAGAAAAAAAACTTGGGAAAAATAAAAACAAAAACAGAAAGAGAAATAAAAAGGTAATAAGATAAAAGAGAGAATATCGTGAGAGCTCAGGTTGTATAGGGAAGCAATTTCGGCAGTTGACAATGAAACCGAGGTCCATTGCGTTATTATGGATTACTTCATGATGAAGTATTGAATAATTTCTAGCCCGCATGTACGTGTGTGCTCTAAAAGCTTGGGTTTCATTGAAGTGGAGGAGGCTAAGTGTATGTGTGTGTCTGTGGGGGGGGGGGGGGGGGGGGGGGTGTAGAAGTTTTATAAAGAGTGGGCGTGTTCCGAGGTCTAAGAGATTTTAACAAAGTCCTCTCCGAGGAGAGCGCTAAGGCATGTTCCTGACTGACCCATCTACTCGCAGCTGTAACTAAAAAAAAAATGAAATTAATCGGAATAGCAAAGAAGATAGCTCCGAGTTGCTTAACTTGCAACGTGGAAACTCAGGACCGAGGAACAGAAACGTGGACGTCAATCATTTTTAACAGGAAACTTTCTGGTTGGAGTGATTGCTGCAGCACTCGCAAAGGGGGGGGGGGGGGGGGGGGGGGGTCATATTGTTCACCCACGTTTATAGTTGATTTTGTAAATTCCAGCGGAAATATTTCTTTCTTATTAGTTTACTTTCCTTCTTCTTTTTTCATCGGGCCGAGAAATGTCCACGTAGTAAGCGTCGTTAAGACCGCTGCTACTTTAAAGACCCACGAACGCTCGAGTTCGTCCTTCTATATATGTTCTATACCTTCAGCTAGACCATTGGTTTCTCCAAACTCTCCCTGCGCTTCTGATATGTGCTGGGACGTTTGACTCGCGCACTGTCATTCTACACGTCGCATTATTCAGGTTCGCAGCCAGTTGCCTGCGGGCCGCATTCCAGCGAGTCACGGGCCGCGTATTTGAGACCCCTGCACTAGATAGATGGATATACGCAGTTGAAGGCAAAGTAAAGCGTCTAGACAGATCTAGTGGGAGTATGAATACGTTGCACATTAAAATTGTGTTCTCAAATACCTCGCTTATCCTGTGAAATTATTTACTTTTTTTTTTTATTTCGTCAAAAACTGGCAGGTGCCTATAAAAAGGAAATAGAAAAGTTGTTGGAATTTCGATTTGTACTCTATGTAATTTCTATCCAATTTCGTATACTGTCTTTATACAGAGAGCACAAAGTGTCTGCCATAAAGCTATAGACAATGGATAAAAAAGTGGATAGATTTTCTTTAAAATGTCTATAGCCTCAATACGTTAATTTAAAAACAATGATGTAGGAACTGTTTCAAAATTTTTTCGTAAGGGTTTAAATTGTAGGGCGGGCCAACTACAGCCGTTTTACATAGATATCTATATTTTTGGTCTTTGTGTTTCTCCCTCTCTGCACTGACTCCGGCAGTAGTTCGCCACATAGCCCGAGAGAAGATTAGCTTTATCCAGTCGCTGGGCGAGGGAGCCTTCGGCCGCGTCTTCCTGGGCACGGTGGACTACCTCACGCCGGACGAGCCTACGACGCTGGTGGCCGTCAAGACCCTCAAGAACATGAGCGTGGACGAGGCCCGCCTCGACTTCGACCGCGAGGCCGAGTTGCTCACCAACCTGCAGCACGCTAACATCGTCCGCTTCTATGGAATCTCCACCGACGGCGATCCACTCATGATCCTGTTCGAGTACATGGAGTACGGGGACCTCAACAACTTCCTTAGGTCTGTTGGCCGGCATTTCTACAAACACACAGAAAAAAAAGATTTTTTATATATTTCCGCGGTTTAATATATAAAACTTCGGTATGCGATCAAACCAGTTCATAAGCGAGAGCTGACTATTACAGCTTTTCCCGCTGATAATAATCAAAGTGCCAGCTTTTTTTAATCCGAGTGCCCCTGAATTTAATCTAGCTGCACACCAATTTAATCCAATGTCAATAAATTCAATCCAAGTTGCCAACAATTTAATCCCAACGCCATTAATTTTAATTCGAGAGTCACTCAATTTAATCTCTTTATATCTGTCAATTAAGCAAGACTACTAACTCATATCCTACTACCGTTTTAGAGGTCTAAGTTACTCGCAAGTCATGAATGACTTTTCACTGTATGCGCGCGTTCGGCCACTTGTTCTTTCCTCAATTTTGAGGGAATCCTTAGATCATAATACATAAGCTTGAGACTGAATGACGGGGACATTTTGTCGGTTTTAGAATACTAACGAAAATTTTCAAAAGGCTTAATAAAAAAAAACGTGTTTGAATTTTTTTTTTCAATTGGGTGCAAGGCAAGCTTTTAATGGCATGAAAATTTTCATTGCATGTCAAGATGCTGATTTTCGATTGCGTCTATTCCATATTTTAATATGTGAGTTACATGCCATCGGTTTGAAGGGCAGGCACAATGTACTTGAAATGATTGCGGTTATAGACCGCGCAATCAACACGTTGAATTCTCGGCATTGCTTCTTGCGTTGCCTATTGGAGCATCTGCCATCGGTATTCCTTTAAGGTGGCAGCTTCAGGCCGCGCAAGTCCGGCTGCGCTATGCTCACTGAAATAATCTTTCACGTCAGATTTGAACTTGGAAAACATATCTTCCATTGGGTAGAAGACCGGATTGTATGGCTGTAAGCTCTTCAGAGTGGCTCTGGGACAAGGCGGTGTCTGCGGCTCGTTGGTGAGTGAAAGCATTATCAAATATATTGACCGCATCCTGACCAGGAGCTGTTGCCATGATCTCCCTCGAAACTTCCTCCAGGAATTCGTTTTAAGTCGACCAGGACACTTTTTCTACACTTCTCCACAAGTGGATCCCGTCAGCAGACATGCATGCGAGAATGTTGATATTGGGCCCTCTGTTACCTTTAGTTCTCGCGACGGCGTCCTTTCCCGGGTTTGACCTCCCAAGCCTCCGACTACACCAAATATTAAAGTTTCTCTCGCCAACGTAATATTCAAGCTGAAGCGGACCGTACCCCTACAGCCACGAAACATATTCTTTTCTTGCACTTCTTACGTCATCGCGATTTCGATTAACGGGCTGCCGAGAAAGTTGCTTTGTTGTGTAACCGTGTCCATCCAAAAGTCTGTCAGTCAAATAGATAGGCTGATTTTAATACCTGGCCCCGTTGCTTCAAGCTCTTGTTTGAGTTGCTTCAGCGTGTAGATTGGCGGTTCATCCACCATAGCTGCCAGATCCTGCTCAACATCGGAGTCAAATGTCTTCTTTGAGCCTCCATTGGGTTCCGGTTCACCTCTGTAAGTTTTCGCAATTGACCGAGCAGTTTTAACGTTAATTCCTAGTGTTTCAGCAATTTGCTTTATGTTACCGCCTCGTCTCCAGCAGTCAATCAGCTGCGCCCGATCTTGATCGGTTGCCTTTTGGTAGGATTATTTAGGTAGGTTTGGATCTTTCCGAAGTCAACCTCGACACATTGCATTCGACAAACGCATTTCCAAGAGCGTTCAAAATGCGGGTGACTTGCGTGCAATTGGTCAAACCGCTCTAATAATTCTTATCTGCCTCGGAGAGTTCAGAATCGGACGCCGTCTGCTACCAAGGCGGAGATGCCAGCTTATCGTCTGCAACCGCGGCACGGCGCAAGCATACCACGAAGTGTTTGCAGACGACGCAAGAAGCGCTGCCCGATGGTTTCATCAACGGACGTCGTCTGCTATCCCACGGCAACCGTCTGCGAGAACTTCGCGGTATGTTTGAACCGGGCCGCTGCTTCATCAAAGAGCTTCTTCTGCTGTTTCAAATCGCCTGCAAAAACTTCGAAATGGTCATGCGCCATGAGACGACTTCATCCACGGGCTTCGTCTGCTACTTTAGATCGTCTGCAAACACTTCGCGGTATGCTTGCGTCGTGCCGCGGTTGCAGGAGGATCGGTGGCCAAGTGGGCTAGCGCACACCAGCTTGGAGCGCACTAAGTGAAAGCTCGCGCTGCAGAACCCAGGATCCTTGGCTCAATCCCCACACCTGCCCGCTTCGATCTGGTTGAGCATCGTACCGGCATGCGGTTGTGTGTCACTACTGTGTGATGTACGTTAAACACCCGAGGCTAGCGGCTGGCTAAATTTCTCATCTATAGCTTGCAGACTCGTCGCCCGTTGAGACAGACCAAGTTCTAGGCTGTGTAAACATACACGCAACCCCAATTTGCCGCGGTCACAGACGATAACCTGGCATCTCCCGCTTGGTCGCGGACGGCGGCCGATCCTCAACTCTCCGAGGCTGATAAAAATTATTGGACCGGTTCGACGATTTGCACGTAAGTCACCCGCATTTTGAACGCTCTTGGCAATGAGTTTAACTAATGCAAGGTGTCGGAGTCGGCCTCGGAAGGGTGCAAACCTACCTAAGCAGTCCTACCAAAAGGTATCCGACGGGCGGGGCTGTTTGACTGCTGGCGACAAGGCGGTAGCATCAATCAACTTGCTGAAACATCAAAACTGCTCGGTCAATTGCGAAGATTGACAAGAAGATCCGAAACCCAGAAGAGGCTCAAAGAAAACATTCGTCTCCGATGTTGTGTAGGATATGGCAGCTATGGTGGATGAACACCCAACTTGCACGCTGAAGAAACTCAAACAGGAGCATGAAGCAACTGGACCAGGTATCCAAATCAATATATCTACAATTGAGAGACTTTTGGATGGACACGGTTACACAACAAAGCAACATTCTCTTGAACCTGTTGACCGAAATCGCGAAGACGTAAAAAGTGCAAGAAAAGAATACACTTCGCGGCTGCAGGGGGACGGCCCGCTTCAACATCGATATTGCGTTGACGAGACAAACTTCAATATTTGGCGTAGTCGGAGGATTGGGAGGTCAAAACGTGGGAAGGACGCCGTCGTGAGAACTAAAGGTAACAGAGGGCCCAATATCAACATTCTCGCATGCAAGCCTGCTGACAGTATCGTCTTATAGAGAAGTGTGCAAAAAGTGTCCTAGTTGACTTTCAATTAATTCCTGAAGGAAGGCTTGACAGAGACCACGGCAACAGCTCCCAGCCAGGACGCGGTCGATATATTTGATAATGCTCCCGCGCAGCGACGAGGAGAAGACGCCGCCTTGCCTCAGGGGTACTCTGAAGTATTTACCGCCATAGAGTCCGTTCCTCAACCCAATAGGGAGCGCAAGTTCGTCTGCTTGCACAGGGGTTGCGATGATGTCAGAACGCCGAGCTCTTATTGGCTGATTGAAAAAAATAGTTGGTAGACCTCGAGGTAGCATTGAGGTCTACCCACTATCTTTCGATCAAAGCCTATCAGAGCTCTGCGTCGCTCTGACGTCACCGCAGCTCTTGTGCAAGAAGCAGGCGACTCGCTCTCCGCATTGAAGGGATGTTTTCCCAAGTTCAAGTTGGGCGTAAAAGCTTACCTCAGTGAGCATAGCGCAGCCTTACTTGCGCGGGCCGAAGCTACAGCCTTAAAGGAACACCGATGGAAGATACTCCAAACGGCGGCGCAAGAAGCAATTCAGAAAATTCAAAGTGTGGATTGCGCGGCCTATGACTACACTCATTTCAAGTACATTGTGGAGGCCCTTAAAAACAAGAACATGTAACTCACATTTTCAAGTGTGAAATCCACGCAGTCAAAAATCAGTGTCTTGATTTGCGATGAAAATGTTCATGCCATTGAATGCTTACACCTAATTGAAATACATTTTTTTTAAACACGGTTTCACTGTCAAGGCTTTTGAAAATTCTCGTTAGTGTACCAAAAACCGACAAAACATCCCATCATTCAGTCTCGAGCTTACGTATTATGGTTTAAGAAGTCCCTAAAAATTCACCAGAGAATCAATCACGCAACGCGCATAAGCAGTGAAAAGTAATTCGTGACTTGCGAGCAACTCAGACCTCTAAGACGGTCGTAGGATATGAGTTAGTGGTCATAGCTATTTCACAGATATGAACGAATTAGATTGTGTGACTCTTAACGTAAAATGAAAGGCGTTGGGATTAAAATGTTGGAAACTTGAATTAAATTGGTTTACAGCTACATTACATTCAGGGACACTCGGATTAAAAAAGCTGGCACTCGGATTAGCAACGAAAAAAATCAAGCCAAGCGGCCCGGAGAACCTTGCAAGTTCCTTTTAGTAGAATTGTTACATCGCCAAGACGGAGAACATCGGCGCTTTTCTGTATTTTGTTTAAAGAGGGCATTTATGAACACCAAATTGCAGCGCCTTAGTTGGCGCCAGCGCCAAGCGCTATGGAGAGCACTCCGATGTTTAAAATTTAAAAAAAAGGGGAAAGAAAACATTCTATTTCCTTTTCCCCGTTAACAGCGTCGCTCTCTGTACACTGGTAAATCGCTGAGTTGCACCTCAATGCGGGTAATGTAGAATGATCATTTGCTTCGTACCCGGCGCTACAATTGAAAATCGAATGAAACAATACAGACAACAAAACATACTGCAAGCGATACCGTAGATATCATCCAAATATATCTTCCATCGACGATTGGTCTTAAGCCGCCACGCCGCCGGTGTGGTACAGGCGTCGGACCACGTCGCAGACTGTCCCCAGGCCCACTAATAGTCCCTTGCTTTTGCTGTTTTCGCAACACCAGAGACCGAGGTCCTGACAGCACAGTGCTCGATCCCAAGAGCAAGCAGGTGCCGCCGCTGAGCAGGGCCGACCTGCTCAAGATATCGACCCAGGTGGCCTGTGGCATGGAGTACCTGGCGTCGCAGCATTTTGTACACAGAGACCTGGCGACCAGGAACTGTCTCGTCGGAGACATGCTCGTCGTCAAGATTGGAGACTTCGGCATGTCCAGGGATGTCTACAGCACGGACTACTACCGGGTGAGTTGGGCAATGAAGTAAGACTGGAGCAAATTTTGTGAGCTCATTGGCACATTCAGTCATGCTAGTGGCAGCGGTAGCATGAATTAATCAAAAGTAATGATAGTGATATTTCTCTTAGCTCAGGAGAGCCGTGGCGCCACAGAAAGGCAAGCCGTCGTACCATGAAAGTCCCTGGCGCTGCATCTAAAGATAATGCAGTGATATTTTATGGACAAAAGAAACATTTCGAGGACACCTAAGCACTTCTTATGAGTTGTGAATGCGAGACCATTAATGGCGTTCTTCCACTCTCTTAAGGCCCTGTCGTACTGAGCCAACACGACAGCAACAGCAACACAACACGTTGTCTAACAGTCGGGCAACTTTTTGCTCGCTCCCCGTGTTGTCCGATAAACCTGTCACATCGCGGCAACAGCAAAACAACATGGGCGACAACTAAATTGTTGCCTCGGTATGACAACTTTCGTCAACAAAAACAGCAGCAACTTCTGTTGGACAACGTGTGTTGCCCTGATCGCTGGCTGAGCGAATTTCGGGCCGGCAACACGACAACAGAGATAGCTTTGATGGCAGAGCTAGTCCCTATCAATAACGTCTTACTCGAATAAAGGCATCGAAAACGTTATTTAACAGTAATTAAGGCTGGCGGGCAGCTAAAATAACTTGATGAATGCTTTTACTGCGTAATTACGGAAACTGATTGTCGAAATGATCCTAGCTACGGTCGTGACCGTTGAGAATGGTTTTGAAATTAGATCTGCCGGGAGACCAGCTCACATTATTGCTAATGAAAAAAATGGCATGCCCACTCACCTGATAAAGTATAACAAAAATAACCCAGGAAAGCAAACATTAAAAATTGGAAAATTAAAACGATCACTTTGATCATGATTGTTGATGCTTGGAACTTGGAAACAGCCGCTACCAGATGCCTGATTTGTTTAAAAAATACCCAGGACTTTTTGGGGAATGAAGCGGTCACAGAGCTGGCGGTAGGCAAATAGACACTATTGAAAAATATTTATTCCGTCTATTGTTATGAAGGCCGATCCTGTCGGTGTCGCAGTTTTTAGGCACTGTCAGTTCAGCTGAACACAACGTTACAAGAGACTCTTTGGGATACTGCCGGTGCTAACTCAATTTTACAGTAGAACTAGGAATTGCACGAAGGAAAGAACCGGACAGAAACAATTCATACGGTTTTTCTCGGTTAGGGCTATCTGCTTGGTCAGCAAATGAAGAACATTTTGATATAATAAAGGGTGGAAAATACTCCCTGCGTCAAGTTTTCTAATCACAATCACTGGTTGATGTCGTCTCGTTGTAATTTCCGGCTCTTCGAACGCGCTAACACTTTGTAGAGTCACATTTCCGGCGACTCCGCGCCGCACACGAACGAAGGTAAACAATCAAGGTGGCGGACTGTTCCCCGTACAGTCCCCGCCGTCAGCGCGGTGTGACACGGTTGTTGGACAACAAAGCGGACAACACGGTGGCCGGGCGGCAGCAACATGTTGCCCGACTGTTGTTTTTGCCCCGATGTGGTAGGGTCGCCGGCAACACGATTTCCTCGTGTTGCCGGATAGAGTTGTCCAACTGTTGCCTCAGTGTGACAGGGCCTTTAGTTTGTTTGCGGCGTTTGCGGTGGTACTGGCGTGGACGGCCATGTTTCGCTACCGATTGGGTAGTGGCCGCCGAGGTAGCGGCCGCCGATGATATAGATGCTACTGGCGCCGCCACGTTCCTCGGCGCCGAGAGGAGCAGCAGCGGACGCAGCGCCGGCAGGGATGCCGTACTGGCTCGCTGGTGACTGCTGCGCCGCTAGGCGAGGCATCGGCGGGAGTGCGAAGCCCGGCGCGGCGCGTGCTGAAATTACGTATACTCTCATCACCATCATCATCGCCCTAGCTGTGGGTACTGGGATCATGTGACGGGCTAGTTGGTCCTCGTCTTTAGCGCAACTTTTAATTTCGTACTGTGGGTACTGGTTGACGACGTTAGACCTCAAAGCGTAATGTTAGGCCAGCGCTTACCTGCATCCCCTTCACGTCAAACAGCTTCGCGTACAGGCTCACGACGTTAGACCACAAAGCGTAACGATAAGCCTAACGTTAGGCCTAACGTCACGCCGGCGCATATCCGCGTCCCCCTCTTCCGCTGCGCCGCCAGCAGTTCGGCTGGCTCCTTAGCAACGATGACGCCGTTACTATGGAGTCACATGACGCGTCGCAGCCAATGGGAATTGGGGTGTCGTTTCACTCAGTCAATGAGAATGTACGTGCCGTTTTTCACTACTACAGATGGAATTTAGGTGCCGTTTTTCGCTGCTACAGACAATGCCGGCTTCGCTTTATGGGACAGTGAATGCTTTCGCATTCAAAATGGTGATGATTCTACAAGTGAATCTTCTGGACGACGGTGAAAGTCCGTTGGTGATGTGTAAAGGGCTTTGCGTTGATGCTAAGAATAATTACGTTTTTTTTTTTTTTTCTTTTTTTTTCTTTTTTTTTTTTTTTAGCGCGATAGCGTTTAGGAGCTTGTTTCGCAGAAAAATTCGGCCGAGACACTTAAGACTGTTTACGTGCAGAAATGCGAAAGCATTCCGACACGCAGCGCATTCCTACAACCAGTGCGCCACGTCTTCGCATCACACACGGCGTAGCGACGGTGACGAAAAAAACGACGACGACGACGCTTGCGGAAGGACGATTGTTCTCATCGCTCCCGAGAGATCGTAGTATTTTAGATAATCAACAGCCAACGTACCGGCCGGAACTCCTCGGAGCATCTTCCTTCGGTACTCCAAAGATCCGTCTCCACCCTTCGGGGTTCAACGGATATGAGCATCCATGAAGCACCGAAGCCAGCATCCGCCGACGTCGAATCTGGTGAGCCCGCCATCACTGACGACGATGCTTCTATGACGGATGAGCCTGACGATGGAGACAAATGGACGACTCAAATGACAAAGAAGCGACGCCATGGCTCTAATTCGAGTCAATCAACCATCATAAGTCAACCACTTTCAAATCTCACCGTCATTGTCAAGCCTACTGACCCAACAAACTCGTAACCAACCTCAACCCCTTGGTTCTGAAAAAGAAACTGGAGGACGTCGCTCCTGACGGCATCATACAGATCAGACCGAACTATCGTCTCAATCTGCTGGCCCTCGACACACGTAATGTGGAATCCACAAAAGCCCTACTCCGACTCAAGAGCCTAGGTGCGGTTCAAGTTATGACGTATGAACCGCCTCCACCATCTGCTTACGTTGGAGTCATTCGCGGCGTATCCACTGAAATCACAGACGCTGAACTTTGCGCATCTTTACGAGAAAAAGCGCCTGTAATTCAAGTAAGAAGACTTGGAACTTCGGAGGCAGTAAAGCTCACCTTCTCCTCGGGAGTGACATGCGAGCACGTCTATATAGGCCACACTCGATATGAAGTCTTCCCATACTTGGAAAAGCCACGACAATGTCCGAAGTGTAACCGCTTCGGGCATATTGCAAGTACCTGCTCTAAAGCGCAGCGCTGTAGCCGATGCGGAGGCGAACACGACATCAGCACGTGCGGAGCAGAACAACCTAAGTGCACGAACTGCAGCAAGCGCCATGACGCCACGTCACCAAGGTGTCCAATCTACAAGGTGGAAAAACAAATTGCAAATTACAAAAGCTCAAACAATATGGACTACACTTCAGCAAAGTCAGCCATCATCAGCAACCAAGAAACCCGCGGCGCAGGAAGGTACTGGACACCTCGGAGGCGTCCTCAACGCACAAATGAAGACAAAGGGATCACAATTCCATTAAACAGTGAGAATGACCTCCCATCTTTGAAGAAACAGCCAGCCACAACGACGCCAAAGACACCAGTTACTACTGTAGAGCCTTCAGCATCTTCAAGCGCTGAGGAAGCTACTATGACCGGTCCTCTGAAAGATAAGCAAAACCCAACTAGGAAGTCCAGCGTACAACCTACCTACAAGAATTCAAGATCTGACGCAGCACCTAAGCCACAAAGCCTCGGGAATGCGCTTTGCACACTTACCACAATGCTGCGCACCTTCCTGGCTTCCCTACATTCTCAATTTGCACAATCATTAATCACAATAATTGACATCGTTGTACCACTCATCACCTCCTGGTGTCATTAGACTACATCGGTGAGAAATCAGCCCAAAACAACGGAAAAATACATGTAACAAGAAATAGACTTCCGTGCCCCTCCAAAACGAACCTCATCCCATCAATTATCCAGTGGAATGTTAACGGTCTCCGGAGACGAATAAACGACTTAAGGCAGCACTTACAAAGACACCAGGGCGAAGTGTTAGCGCTACAAGAAACTAACATTAAGCTGGGAGAGATCCGACTATCACCATACGTCATATACAACAGCACGCCCCGAACAACTTCAACATCAGCAGATGCACCCAAGGCGTCCTTGTACATTCACCGGAACTTACCTCAAGTACAAGTGGATCTTTCTGATCTCTGCGACCACAGAGCTGAATACGTGGCTGTGACAATCAACAAAGGTAACTCAAACCTAACCATCGTCACAGCCTACGTACGGCCTAACGTTTCCTGGGACCCTACGATATTAGGTACAATACTCTCTAGGTGTGCACCTGCCACGCTGCTGCTGGGGGATTTTAACGCCCATAACGAGACCTGGGGAGACAAACAAACGTCAGCACGCGGCAGATTACTGGAAGAATATACCACAGCCATTGGTCTCCGCTGCTTGAACGACGGAACCGCTACGTTTGTACGCCCAGAAGTAGAGCGTAGTGTACTTGACCTGAGTTTTGCTACCAACTCGATACGCGCAATATGGTCAGCGGAACCCGATAGCTGGGGCAGTGATCATATTCCTATAAAGATCACTTCCCTATCGAGCGCACCCGTCACACACAAGGCTTGCACGGTGACGAATTGGGACAACTACCGGATGTACTTTGAGCAACTAATGTCTCTTGACAATGCCGATTACATGACAGCAATAGCTCAGGCCTTCTCCAAATCAACCCGAACTGTAACCATTCCAATATATCGACCAAACCCAGACCTGACATACATCAAGCTCCGTGCTTTGCGCCGACAGCTACAGCGACGCGCACTCAAAACATCGCGACAGGAGGACATTCAACACTACCGGCGGGTCGACGCTGCATTCCGTAGACACACCAATCGCTTGCAACGAAGACAGTGGCGACAGCGGTGTGAGACGCTTCATACTCCTGGTAGTGGAAGACGAGCGTGGCGCATGGCTCGTGTCCTAGCTGGGCATGCCATTCCCCGCTCACCTGCCCTCGGCATTGTCATCGCCAAGAACATCACCGTGGCTCAAGCGGCAGAGCTGCTCGCCGATGAATTCACTTCTGCTCCTATAACTCCTCCTGGATTTCTCACAGGCAGCACGACCTCCCCCCAGCTCCGGTCACCACCTTCGTCCTCCAGCGACTCGGATTTCACGCTGCGGGAGCTTAAAAATGCTCTTCGCTGCACCTCTCGCAAACGAAGCGCACCAGGTCCTGATGGAATTACTTTTCAAGCACTGCGGAACCTTGACTCTATGGCCCTCCCAGGACTCCTTGCGTACCTAAACAACATCTGGAGTACGTCGGTACTCCCTCCCGCCTGGCTGACATCTGTGGTCGTTCCAATACACAAGTCAGGAAAACCCACATGTGAAACGAGCTCATACAGACCAATCTCCCTCACTTGCTGCCTCGGAAAGATTCTGGAGCGAATGATTCTGAGACGCCTTGACTGGCAACTTGAGACCTCTGGTGCCCTACCTCACCAGCTCTCTGGTTTCCGAAGACATCGATCTACAACAGATGCGATTGGCGACCTCGTGTCAGATATGGAGCAAGCTAAGGCGATGCGCCAAGCCACCTCGGCCATCTTTCTTGACATCAAGAAAGCGTTTGACGCTGTTCCTCATACAACCATCATTGCTCAACTTCTTAAGTTTGGAGTATCTGGCCGGGCGCTGGCATTCATACGTGCATTCCTAAGTGGGCGCACAATGCGCGTTCGCCTAAACGGAACGCTCAGTTCTCTACGTAACGTTGCTCAAGGCGTTCCCCAGGGCAGCGTCATAAGCCCATTTCTGTTCAATATAGTCATGGCAGCTCTCCCAGACGTCTTACGACGCATAAACAGCCATTCGCAGATTATCAACATGGCAATTTACGCTGACGATGTAGCCCTTTGGGCTACAGCTCCTACTAACACATACAGCATTATGCAGAGAACGCTCCAGCAAGGCTTAACAGCAGTAGCAAACGAAATATCAAGACTAGGGCTTACGCTTTCCGCCTCCAAAACCGCAGTCCTTCAATATCATCCGACGGCCAGATCATCTATCAACAGGGTCTATACCATCAACGGGTCTGATGTGGCACGAGTCCGAACATACACCTATCTGGGGTTCCTGTTAGACGACCGCGTCTCCTGGCGCCCCGCGGTGGAGACAACCATCATAAGGTGTCGCCGGCATCTCAACGCCATCAGAATGATCATGGGCAGTCGGTGGGGAACACCCCAGGCCATGATGATGCAGCTCTATAGAGGGCTCATCCTCTCACGTCTACAATACGCCTTGCCGCTGGTCCGCACTAGCAGCACCCAATCCTCGGCTATAGAGACTCTTCAACGAGTCGCAATTCGTTTATGCTTGGGCCTACCAAGATACTCCCCAAATACCCCAACGTTAGTGGAAGCCAGGGTCAATCTCGTTGAAAATCACGGCAGGGAGCTGACACCTCGGCACATAGCAAGACAGTCATCTTGTCAATCAACAGGTCCACTCCTAAAGCGTTTTCATCAGCGTCCACTCTCGCACCTCGGACAACTGGCAGCGCAATTCAGAGCACTCGTTGGTGACCCAGACATCATCTACATGACTCCACCACCATACGCTCCACCACTAAACATCAATGACTCTGTTCCCGCTCTCAAAAGTAAACGGAACACAGCCCAACCTGTAGTCCGGAGCCTTGTTGAAGACCACATGGAAACGTCCTTCGCTGGTTGGCTGCGGGTATACACCGATGGCTCTGTGCTTCATAGCCGTAAGTCGTCTACTGCTGCCATGTGTATCCCAGCGCTCAACATGACCGAGTCCAGGAAACTAAGTTTTTATACTACGTCGACAACTGCCGAACTTGTGGCACTTTGGCTTGCCCTTGACTCACTTAACAACCTCCCTCAATGTGGCAAAGCGTTAATCCTCACAGACTCTAGGATGGCGCTGCAACAGTTAGATCGTCTTGAAGACGCACCGCAATACGCTCGATTTGTCGCGCACGCAGCGAGAAGCTTACAAGCAAAGGGCTGGCAATTAACCTTTCAGTGGTTACCTTCGCACACTGGCATCTCGGGCAATGAGGCCGCTGACCAACTCGCTGCAGCGGCTCATCACCTTGATGTCCCAGTGGTAACAATACCTAAAATACACGAAGCTAAACTACTTATACATCAAGATATAATCGTTCATCACCCGGACCCACGGGTTTCTTGCGGAAAACCTCCTGTACGTGTCCCACCGAAGCTACAACGATCCAGCGCCTCCTTGCTGCATAGGCTACGCACCGGATGTGCCTTCACGGCGAAAGCCCTCCACCGCATAAACTCTGCCGTCGACCCCCTCTGCCCAACCTGCAATGTTCCTCAGGACTTCGACCACCTCCTCTGGGACTGCGCGGCGTTAACGAAAGAGAGAAGATCCCTCATCGACGGCCTGCAGTGCGCCGGCGTCGCACATGCCACTACAGAGGAAATCCTTTTTCCTCCGGGTCCGGCCGGGACCGCTTCTAAAACATTCGCACGTCTCCTCACATTTTTAGAAGACACAGAATTATTCGATCGCCTATAAACCACAAGTATCCGACCTTAAGTGCAGAGTGCCAACAAGTGACAGTCATCCACCCCTTCCCTTTGTTTTAATCTCTCTCTCTCTTTTCTTTTAATCTGTCTCTCCTCTAACCCATTCCTCAACCCTGAACTGACTCGCCCCCATTTTTAGGAGTGGCCAACTGTTCAGGTTTTCCTTTCCAATAAAACGCTTACTACTACTACGACGGTGACATTAAGCTCCCCCACTGCGCAGGCGCGGCGAACCTTGCCGGCTTCCTGTCGGCTTCTGTGACGAAACATTGCGTTGCTATGCTTCTCTTTGTGTTTTATTTCTGAAGTGCGTCCACTTTGACCTTGAACGCACCCACCGGCTTCCGTGACGAGGCATCTGCGTTCATGTGCTTTTTTTGTGTGCTTTATTTTCGAGGCGCGTCCGCTTTGAACTCGATGGGCCGCGCCGGCTTCCGTGACAAAGCATCTGATATGACGCGTCGCAGCCTATTATGTGCCGGTTTTCGCGGTTACAGACGCCGCCGGCTCGGCTCCATGGGACCAGTTAATGCTTTCGCATCTAATCCGATGTCGGCGTCGGTGGCACCCGAAAATCTCATAATGCAACGCGCTCAGGCATGTGTGACATGACACGTGGCTGTGACGTCATGACCATATCGACCCGCTAAAGTTGGCGAAAAACTTTCCGTTAAATTTAGTAGAAAATTTTCCCAGCAAATTTAGATTAATATTTTCCCCCAAAATTTAGCGGAAAAGTTTCCGCTAAATTTGGCGGGTCGATAGGATCATTGTGTCAAAGCCACGTGTGATGTCACGCGTCACGTGACAGGACGTCACACGTGACGCCACGTGACGCAACGTGACACGTGACGCAATCAACAAGACCACGCACACACGCTTGCACGGCTTGGGAACTATACTCGGCGACAACTTTTCTTGGCAATGCAGTGGAAGGTACAGGCCCGCGTCCCCTCTCCCATTTTGAGTGTACGCAGGCTCTCCTCCTCCCCCATTTACGGGGAGAGGAGAAGAGCCTGCGCAAACTCAAAATGGGAGAGGGGACGCAGGACGTACCTTCCACTGCATTGCCAAGAAAAGTTGTCGCGAAGTATAGCCCTGATTTGTCTGAGAAGGCTTCGCGAATGGGGCCCGATAACGCTATCCCGTCCCACCCTTTTAAAGGCGAAGCTTCAGCGCCCCTTAAGTCTGTTTTTTTCTTGGTCTTTGGTGCGGTTAGTTGTGAGGTGTTCTTCAGGGGGAACTAGGGGTATGGTGCGTGCCTGGAACTTGTCTTCGAGTGGTGTGTTTACCACGTCCAAAAAAGCGGTCTCCGATTTCCGCCTGATGACGTCATAGCAGTGTCATGCTGTCGCCGGTCGCGATCCTGGCGGTGTCCCAGCAGCTGTGGTGGATGTGGCAGACGCCTATTCTGCTGCAGGTCGCTCTTCATTGTGACAGTCCACGGAAGCTACAGCAGCAGGAAGTTGGGACGCCTGGGACGCCATGACGACAGCGACACTCGCGTTCGCTCGTGCTTTTCGCCAGCATTTCTACGACCAACCGCCAGGATATGAACAGGCAACAGCATGACATTCCGGCTTCTGTGACGTCATTTGTGTCCACTTCGGGACCACTTTTGATGTATGGGCGAGATAGGACGCTAAACATACCAGTCGGAGACGCGCTCCAGGCACCATACTAGGGGTTCGGAGCATTGGTGGCCATCATTTTTGCTCGTTTCGTCCCCAGTTCGGCGGGGGAGGGTGGTTCCACGTCACCACCACGTATAATCTGCTATATATGAAACTTCGCCAATAAAAAAAGGTTAAACGCCCACAACAAGAAAGTAAGATAATTATAATAATTTCTGCGCCAATAAACGAGTCTTTGCTGTGTTTCTCATTCTTCACTACCATACTTTTAGAGCGCAGAAGTGGCCATCAATAAAACCGGACAATTTGCCACATAAACAAGGCGAATGATGGCTTAATTCTATTTATAGTAGCGTATACCCGCCATTGTTCGGCGTGTGTTACAGGCCTAAGTTGTAGAACTGTCTATTCTAACTTTAAACCGTACGCTCTTCAGGTGGGCCGGCACACAATGCTCCCTATCCGGTGGATGCCCCCGGAGAGCATCCTCTACCGCAAGTTCACAGTCGAATCAGACGTGTGGAGCTTCGGCGTCGTCTTATGGGAGATCTTCGCCCTTGGGAAACAGCCCTGGTACGAGCTGTCCAACCATGAGGTAAAGTGGCACATGACTTCCTTCCTTGTACCCTCACTTTCGACGTCATTAAAGGGACAATGAAGGCAATTTCGGATATTTTTTTGGCGATTGAACTGGGTTCCCGGCACGCATCAGGCCACGTTGGACAAATTTCAGCCAAAACCGGCGCTTGTGTGCCGCGAAAATCAATTAAACAGTCACGGTAATAATCGTACCGGGATCGATCGAGGCGACGCCCCGAGCGTTGCGGGAGAAACCAGCAGAAGCGGAGGTCACGTGACCCTGCGGGGCCTGGAAGCGTGACGTCACAAGAGACGTGTCAGCGATTGGTCGAAACGAGACACGTGCCCTCGGTCACGCTTTGGTTCGTGGTTTTTATGAACACTGTTCTCATTCCACTTGATTAACCATCAAAACTATAAATCGAACCGAAAATGATAACTAAACCGTAAATAAAACACCATATTTATTTTTCTCTTTTCTACACTGCACGCGAAACGGGCAACGAGAAACTATGGGCAAACAAAATATATAAAATAAAGAACACGGCGTGGAGCACGCGGGAGTTTTTTGGTTCTGGTTTCAGATGTCGGTGCCGTGTTTACTTTAGGAACACGGCACTCGAGGGATTCTGCAAAGCGGTAGTCATGCCAAATTTGTGCGCTGTTGAAGGATGTTCAAACGGTCGACTGAAGACCCGTGATCGTTCGGGCGACGCTAGTTTTCACCTACTCCCAAGCGAGGAAGCATTGCGAAGTCTCTGGTTGAACAGCTTTGTCTTGCGCAGAGGTCTCGGCGATGGCGTCAGAATTTGTTCGCTACATTTTCGGACAGGAGACTTTGAACAGAACCTTCAGGTTAGTAGGAGTCTGGGTCGGCGGCAATTCTGGGGCGTCCTCGTAAAGAGGAATTCCAGAGTTCCGTGTCCTTAGGAGCATCTCCCGTTCTGTTGGTGTCAGGTCACTGAACAGGAGCCCGAATTCGCTCGCGAGAGCGGCATTGCCGTCCATGTTGGTCCGACGAAACGACCGCGCCACCGCGCTGCTATAACCCACCGCGGTAACCAGAATCTCGACGCCCTAAATGCTACCGGTACCCACAATTCACATGTGACGTCACTCTCTACGTTACCTCCGTTTTCGGAGGCCCAAAAACGAGAAACGCAGATAGTTCAGTTTCGGTTTCTTCAGTTCTTTCATAGGTACAGAAATACGCGTCACAAATGTCTATAAAAAATTGGGCAGTATGCCAGGTTCCCAAAAAGCCTAAAAACACTATTTAAAAAAATTTAATAAAATCGCCTTCATTGTCCCTTTAATAAGCCTCCCTGTATTTTTTTAGTTCTGGAGCGCAGCTCTTAGGCGCCCGTTTCCGGGTTGAGCGGCGTCGCCGTCGGCGTAACTGCGCGCGTTGCATTGTGGGACGTTTTCCCGCTGAAGGTAGTGGGGAAATTTTCCCGCTAAATTTATCGAGAAAATTTTTCCGCTAAATTTAGCGGGGAAATGTTTCTGCTAAATTTAGCGGGAAATATTCCCACTAAAGTTAGCGGGAAAATTTGCCCGCTAACTTTGGCGGGTTAAGTGTCCCCGCTAAATTTAGCGGAGAAATTGACGTCACGTGACCTCAGCACCAATTCAGTTTCCCCGCTAAATTTAGCGGGAAAATTACGTCACGACTTCGTGCACGTCACCCATGAACCAATCAGCGGCAGGAGGTGACGAGGAACGGAGGAGGAGGAGGGAATGAGGAGGAGAAGGAGCAGGGGAGAGAAGGAGGAGAAAAAGGGGAGGAGGAAAGGAGGAGCGGAGGGTACGGAGGAGGAGGAGGAAAAGGGGCATACACTCCCCTCCTCCTCCTCAAGAGCTGCAGTCTAGTTTCGCATTACAGAGATTCGTAAAAGTGTTTCATTTTTTTTATGCACTGAATCACCATATTTTGGCTGATACTTGTAGCGAGAAAGATTAAGAACACATATAATTTTAATTGTAATGTAATGTTCTTGAGGGCCTTACAATGATGAGGTTGGACGGTAAATAAGAAAGACGTGTCAAAGAATTGTCCTAGTATATGAGTCAAGACAAAAACTGGATAGAGAAAAAAAGTTTTGGTGGTTGCACCTCTGCTGGGGGTGCTGCAACCAAACCAAAATGTACGTAGAACTGCAGCAGCAAGCAGACTCACACCTACAAAAACCAGCCTCCTTCTCAAAAGTATCGTTCGTCTTCTTTTTACTGCCCTTGTTCACGCACGTCTGGTGGTGGAATGAAAGTCCGGGCAACTTCACAGGCTTTTGATAAAGGTTGAAAAGAAAGACATCTGGTCGTGGTGCAGGTAACTCACGTGTAGACGAATTCATATGCTCCTTTTTTCTAACATTCAGGTGATCCAGCAAGTAACCAGCGGGAAGCTATTGGGCAAGCCCGACGAGTGCCCCGAAGAGATCTACCAAATCATGCTGTCCTGCTGGAAAGCACAGCCCCAGGACAGGAGTCCCATCAAGGTCTTGCACGAGCAGCTCGACCACTTTTGCAAGGCTGAGTCCGAATACATGCCTATCATCGAGTGATCTCTGTTGTGATAAACTCTCGCTTGAAAGCAACAACCAACAAGCGCTGCAAATGAAAACCTCTAGCACAACTCTTCCAGACTGCTGACAGCGCCGTGTCTCCGTGATTATGAACTGGACGATACTGAAGACTCTGATCGGCTTCGGTACGAGGTCGACTGGTGCGTGGGGACAGATTCGCTGTCTACTGTGCGATCTGCAATGAGTTTTGGTACCCTCTTTTGTGGTGCTTTCGTTTTCGTTCCAACGATTGTAAATGTTATACTCTAGCTGGGGCTTCCCCCGTAGGAGCAAAAAGACCGTGTGTGAAGCGCTACCCTGGTAAGCTAAGAGTCAAACACAAAGCGTACGTTGGGCCCGTAAGGCGGCTTGCATCGCCATCGTCATGTACTTTCTTTTTTTTTTTTTTTTTCATTATCATCGATGAACGCCATGGGGTTTTTTCATTCGACAAAGAAGCGCGTGACCTGTGTCCAATTTGTGTCGGGGCTGCATTTTTTTTTTTTTGTCTCTGAGTGTAGTTCTCTGGTTAAGGCTATTTCTCTGTCCTCTGTACAAACTGAACGTGCTAGCCCCACACAGTCATGTCTTACAGGCTTGAGTCGTCGACAGGTTTGGATCAACGAGGTCTGTTCCCTGGTTGTCGATTTCCTCGGGCGCGCGCTGTCTTCGATTGTGCATCAAAGTGCGCGTAAACTCCAGTCATGTATCTTACGTTTACGCGCCGCGTGAAGCACACGTGACCACGGGCTCGTGAATGAAATGGGTAGCCATAATGCGTATCTCGTTGGTTTGACACTGCCACTGATTATTGTAGAAGCATGCCTGCAATGTGTGCGACGGTAAGCGTGTACGTTCTTAGGCGTTCCAAGTAGTCACTATTTAGGGCTGGTCCCCTAACGATGCGAGTTGCCTAGATGGGTATAAAGTTGAGGAACATCTGCAAAAATATCTACATTGTTCACAAGAGAAACGCGTTTCTTGGATGTGCGGAGTAACCACGCTTTTCAACCAATTCCCCACTTCGCGTGTTCATTGCAGGAAGTCAGGGCGTCCATGGATAACAGTGATTCTGTAACTGATATATCCCTGTATATTGAGACAACGTTCTACCTACATGATGCGGCTAAGTCTAGGTAACTTTCCAAAAAGATAGTCATTTTGCTACCAAAACTTTTATATCTATATTAAGAAAAAAGCTGAAGTTTCGTTAGTATGTTAAAAAGTCGAGCTTTATTTCTGCGTTCTTGTTTTTGTTTTATTGCTTAAATGCAACAATATATATTTTTAGAACAACCGTCAACCCCTACAAGCCAAAAGGTTATATTAAATTGTCTAACCATAATAGGCAGTGTGTACTTCGACAGCACAAACATAAAAAAACAAATTGAAACATTATCTCGGGATATTAACTAGTCTAATTACCCACACCCTTATACTAGTCCAAGCTTTGTAAATACAGTGTGTGAGATAGAGAGAAGAGAGCTTATTTTTAAACAGATTATTTACATAACTAATTCCTAGAGCATAACTAATTTCTAGCGCACGCACATCGCTAACGAGCGCACACGAACACAGGTGTGCGCCTAGCATCGTAATAATGGCATTCGCAGAGCATACGCCCTCTGTGGTATTGTACGCCAAACTGAGAAAAAAATTCTAACAACCCGTTGTCGTTGAGGTTATTATACTTTGTAATTCCAGGGAAGTATTTCGCGCCAGCGTGAATGCCTCTTTTTTTTTTTTTTTTTTCTCTCAATCCGTACAAAACCCGCCCCCTTGACCAGAATATTCCCCACCTGAATATTATGAAACACTACGTGGCGGCCTCGAAAGGTATGGCCTTTCTTTTCGCATAAAAAGTGCCTCTTTTCAGGGTTTCTTTGTACGCGATATTTTGTAATAGCGCACAAAACGTACTTGCTCGCCGGTACAAATTTTCGTGAGCATAAAGCTAGAAACGTGTATATAGCTTAGCATAAGACAGATACAAAATGAAAAGAAAAATTCTAGATTTCCTGGGTAGTGTTTTGCTGGCCTAAGTCAGTGGCCAAACGTGCGTTCTACGTAGTTACAGGGATCTGTAAGTGTCGTCCTGAAAAATGTTTTAAAAAAGTCATATCTTTGGCTACATGATTCAATGAAATCTAGCATTTGCGAGAAAAAAACAGTAAGTGTCAGGGATTACATATATTATCTTCACCAACTTCTGATATCAGTCACGAAACAAGCACTGAGATATACGATCAATATGGTGGTTTACTCGTAGCTTGAAGCTCTAACGTAAAACATTTTTTGTGGCCAGAGATGCGTCCAGAGTTGTGCGCTTCTCAGTTAAGTAACACCTTTAACAGACACTTAACATTTTAAGTCGGTCTCAGGCGTTAACATCCGCTATTTGCCCCCCCCCCCCCTATTTACAAGCATAAAATGGCTCATCCTGACGTAAATCGTGTCAGGGTCTTTAGGTCAGCAAACTAAGACAGGAAAGTGACATATTTTTGCAATGAACCCTCACGAGGAGCCCTTCAGCAGGCGTTGTTACGCTTCAATCATTGTGTGTAGTGATGGTTGGTACGGGACTAGTCACGAACCAAGCCGCCAAATGAATGCAGCTTTCTACGACTACACAGGGAACACGACGACGAACGTTTTAACATGAGCGTCACGCCTCTTTTGTATCTATATATTTATTACGCCAAACAAAGAATTTGTCTCCGTGCAAACTTTGTCCTTGTGGTGCTTTGCGTGTCATTTGGTTTCCAGCTCGGACCATCATCGAATGCCTGATGGACAAAACAGAGATACAAGTGAGTTTTAGAAGACCGTGTTTCCCCCTCCGCTAAGCCCCTCCGCTCCCCCGGAACTCTGCAGCCAAGGCCATCGGCGCGCAGGCGCAGTTGCGGTTTCTCCGTAGCGGAGGGAAAACACGGTCTACTAAAACTCCCTATTAGCGAGTTTTAGTAGCCCGTGTTTCCCCCTCCGGTGAGCCCCTCCGCTCCCCGGAACTCTACGGCCAAGGCCATCGGCGCCCAGGCGCAGTGGAGGTTTCTTAGTAGCGGAGGGTTAGCGGAGGGGAAACACGGTCTACTAAAACTCCCTATTATCATAAAGTGTCTGCTGGATATACCGTAAGCGTACTGCTCTGATGGCTGCGTCAGTGCGAGCATCTCGGGCGTAAATTCTAGGGATAAAATAAAATTCACGGGCCTATCACCGTGCTCTGCAAAATGAAGTGGCGTCGGCTGCCACGGTGTTTTGCGACGCATCATACATTCGCACTGTGCATGGACGACTCTTACCACTGAGTTGGAAAAACAAAGTACTCTTACATCACGTTTGAACGGTCTTTGAAGGTTCTCCACAACGTCCCATATCACACACACATGCGTCACGGGCGTATATGTCCACTAATAAAGTTTGCTGCAAAGTCCATATATTCACCAATGTTTTCAGAGCCCGGGGAAGTTTCCGCACAACACAAACGCGAGACTTATGAGTGCCATACGTAAGTTGCCGAGTCTACACATCATGGAGGCATAATGCGCCGCGTTGCTGCTGGTCGTTTTCGATAAGCCAATGCACTGCTTACAAACAAGTCCCCACGAGGTGTGGGCAAACGCGCAGTTACCAGATGCTCGTGAAGAGAAGCGCCTGTTCATGCGCCCTGTCCATAGCAGCGGCCTGACGTCGGGGCCGCGTGTTGGTGTATACAGGGTGTTTCTGCGAATACTTTCAAGAACTCGTACGAAAAGAGTATCATTGGGACAAAGAGAAACTCTCCGGGAGCAAACTGACAGCCACGGCAAACGTCAGAGATTGCCAAAAAAAAGAACACTAATTAGCAAAAACAATACCCATAATCTACTAATTAAAGTTTTAATCAGTTAAAACTGTTTCAATTATGAACATGGTGAGCGTCATCAGAAATCCCTATATCAGTCTATTTCAGGGAGGCTTAAAGCACGCGTGAAGCTTGGGACTGCGCTGAAGTATCCACTCGTGCAGCAGAAGGAAGGCTCACGACGTGAAAATGCGGATGGTTTTCTCATGCCAGATTCACATGGTGCGATTTTGCTTGCGAATTCGCAGCTGCGACGTCAAACACCGCAGCAACCCCCAATTTTTTTTTTTTTTGCCGCACGAGCGACGTTGCAGTTGCGAAATCGCAAGTAAAATCGCACCTTATGAATCAGGCTTTATGTTCCGCGTTTTTGCATCGCCAGCCTTCCATCTGCTACATGAGTGGAAACTGTATCGCAACAGCCAGAAGTTGTCGGCGCACAGTTCAATATTAGATGCCGCAGACTATCCGTTCTCTCAGCATCCGGTAAAGTGCGTCCCCAAAATTGCACGTGTCTTCTATTTCTCGGATGGTCACAACGAAGTCTCTGACCGGTTCACTCGGCAGCTGGTTGAGCGAGAAGAACTTGTACGACTGGGTCGTTTCGTTTAGTTATGGCGGAAAATGGTGCTGCAGAAGGTCGACCAGTTCGCTGTACGGAAGTTCATTCACCTGTGCTGGAGCATAGCATCCGCTGATGACGTCCACGGTGTTCGTGCTTAGCGCCGCGACGAGCAAGGCACGTTTCTTCTTCACGTTCGTCACCACGTTGCCTTCGAAGAACGCCTCCCCAGATAACACACAGTATCCCCACCCCAAAACCTCCTAATGCACCTCTTGACAAACTGACAGTCAGTATGTTCCTAGGTCGTCCCGGTCAGCACATTCCAAATCATGTACTGCCGGGATATCCTAAGGAGGAAGCATAGGCAGAAAGCTTGCTTGGGAGAAGAGCGTGTTGGTTTAAGTCATGGATGAAGAAAGAATAAAACAATTAAAACAGGGACAACACAACCACATCTTTTATATGGTTTTTATAAAAGATGTGGTTGTGTTGTCCTTGTTTTAATTGTTTTATTCTTTCTTCATTCATGATAGGCAGAAAGTTTCCAATTTCCTGAAAAGAGAAAGAGGGGGGGGGGGGAACGGATAGCCCCCCCCCTCCCCCTTTTCCTGAGAAGACGCTTTACCAAGTTACAAATGCGATATCGTCTAACAAATGATTTTTCGAAATAAGTCATTTTGCAGTGCAACATGGTAATGAGAATCGTGCGCTAGATACAGGAGCAGTCGATTAAATATACGAGTATGCTTAATTTAGCTTTGTCGACTTGGTAGTTTTGATTGCAAACATTATTCTATGCATATATCTCCGTCCTATTACAAAAGTAGCAATTACTGGGTGTGTTCAGATAAGGACGGTCACGGTGGTGTCATGCCTATTTTTCCTTTTCAATTAAATTTTTATATGAGGTAGCGAAACCTGTCCACACAACGGTACAAACCTTACTTTTGCTAGATACTTCCTTATATTCGTGAGAAAAATCGCATTCTAGTGAAGGTTGAAA